GTTGCCATCTAACTTCTTCACAGGCACAATAGTAGGGTTAGTAAATGAGAACTGATATATGACGAATACCATGAAGAATTGTTTCACTAGGAAGATCAACAGTGCAGTATTCAATCAAACGGACCTATGACGCTAACAAGCTTGTAAATATTAAACCTTATAGAAGCTGCTACATAAATAATTAAGTGCTTATCGCAACTGATTAAGTCATCGAAGTTGTTCGATAGAGTGATTGGACATTTTTGTAAACCAAATTGGTTATGAATATCTGAAACTTTATTCAAAGAAGTACTAGTATTTATTTGTACTTTCATTCATTTTGGGTAATTGTTTAACACTTCAAATTTAGTAACATAGAATTTTTAACTTAGTTTCTATAAATCATAAAGTATTTAATTTTTTATAGGTAAGTTATTATGTTAAATATATAATTGCGATTATTTACGCATTGCATATGTTACAATATTGAAATATAAAAAATTAAACATATACTTAAAAAAGTTTGTATTAAAACAAATTAACGTTTTAGCATGTACAAGGAACATATTTAGAATGTTTACAAAAAATAAGTATAAGTGTAGACATGTGTAAAAACATTATAATTTTGCAGGTGCATGGACAACACAAAATTAGATAAATATAATGCAGGGCAGGTTAATAGCAACTCCTCGAAAATTACCACTATTTGTATTTCCACAAAATATGACTTTCTTTTTAAGTGACCAGTCTACTCATAAACAAATTCTAACTGTGTATAACCCATATGATTTTCCAATAACATTTAAAGGTGTGTTCTGATTAAAACATTTAATAGTTAAGCAAAAATTTTCATACAATTTATTACATTACAGTACTATGCACTGCACCAGATAAATATAAAGTTGTTCCTCCAGAAGGAACAATAAAATCATTATGTTGTGTTGATATTGTTGTAAGACATACATCTCTTGTTATGAGTAATTGCAATGTTATTGATAAATTTAAAATACGAATCCAAGATTATCCTAATAAACAGGTAATTAGACATCCTAGATTATATATAAAAATAAAAGGGCATGTAATTGTGTTGCCAAAATAATATAGTTTAAGATTGTTTGAAAATTAAATAGATTATAGGAAGAAAAGATGTGAAAGCTCAACTGCTCCCTGGAACAAGAGAAACATCTCAAGGAACAAGAGAAACAGCTGGAAGATCTACACCAATGTTTGAGCAGCTTCCTGTAAATGAAGAGACTGAGCAACAATCATTTGCTCTTATAGGTCAAAATGAAGCAATTGATAGTAAGTGCAAAACATTTTTTGCAAGTTGCTTCATTAGTAAAGTATATCAATATTTTATTGAAGTGTAATGACAAATATGATAAGTTTCTTTGAATGGCAAAACTATTATTTACAATTACAGAGTGGGTACCAAAGTCACGAAAGTTACAACATAATTTATTTCATGAAAATATTCCAGATAAAAATACAAAAATGTACCTACCCTCAAATATAAAAAGTACTATGGATAAAGGTTAGTAAGTTACTATTTAAAATTAGCATATTTGGATTCAAATATATGTGTAATATCGAATCCAGTAGTTTAAAATCATATAACAGTTCATATTTTTAATGCCATTCAACTTTAATTTCCGCATAAAATTTTCGTCAATACAATTCAATTAAAATTGTTTTTATAAAATGAAATTATAAACATTACTTTTATTAAGTTATAAGTACAGAAGAAAATTATATACCTTAAATAAAAAAAATTAATATTTAATTTCGTATAACTATTACAACAATAAATTAAACATATTTTCAGGAGAAATAAATTATGTAGCACTATTTGCTGGAATTATTTGTATAGCTGGATTACTTTTACCTACAGAGGGAGAACAAAATAATAGAGTGCCTGATTATCTCCATATCTCTTCAAGCTTTAAATTAATATTTTCATTTGTATTAGGTAAGTGTTGTATTATTTTTGTTTTCTTTACTAAAAATAAACACAAACTTTCTGTGTATTACAGGTATGGTCACAAGTATTATTTTAAGGTTGTAATTTTTGGCTTTATATATATATGTATAACTAAAAACTTTATACAGTGATCAGAATCATAGGATAAAAGCACAACTAATATTAGGTATATTGGCATTGAGCCTCTTTTTTTTTTTTGTTACTGACTTTACCTGACTCTAATCTGTAAACTATAAACTGTCTGTTATATTGTGAATAATGCTAATATTTATTGACATGTATGACATTTTTCATTCTTTTAGTGTATATGATGCTAAATATCCTTCTTATTGAAGTTTGTGCTTTATTGCCTTATGTATAAAACATTTGTGCATATATTTGAATTTTAATGAAATTACTGTCTTTTAATATATTGCAAGTTAAAATACGAAAATATATTAATATTTATATCAAAATTAATACCTCGTTTTAATTAAAATATGTTGTGTATAGAGGTATTATGTACAAAATACGTTATTCATAATTATGCACACATTTTAAAGAAACATGATCTCGTGTAAAAATGTATAAATATCTTATGTAAAATGGGCTTAAAATTTTACAGACTTTTAAAAAATAAAAATATTTGACATATCGAATGATTGTTTAGTTTTATAATTAAATGCTCTTTACATCTATGCTTGTAATGTAATATATGAAAAATTATGGCATTTAGGTTTAATTATTTAGTAAAAGAATAATTACATAAATTTGATATATTTTGGAAATAAGAGTATTTTTTATTATCAACATGTATTTATTATTTACATAAGTTACAATGGGACACTTGTGAATAAAATGTTATTGAATAAGATGGCCATTCAGACTCTAGTTGTAAAATAATTTTCTCCTAAGTATCATCTTCTCACAAGTATCAATTGGCTAAATATAGGAATGCACAAACAGAATTGTATTATAGGGGTAAACCATTTGATGGTGCTTTTTCGAAAATAATTTAGTATAATTTACCTGAAAGTCCACCATGAAGAATTAAAACCTTTGAGTTAAGATCACAGGATTTTAGAGCCGATGTACATTCTTCAAACTTTCATTGTGTGTTTTGTATTCCATTGAGGCACTTGCTGGAAGATGTAATACTCTCCTTAAGGTATCTCTAATACGTGCTGTTGTTGCATAATCAGATGCAGTTTTATTCCATACACATATTATATCCTCCTGGTAAAATTAACCGTGCTTGACACTAATAAAATATAGATTTATAGTTTAAGATAATAAAAATTATCTCACTTGAAACCTTATAGATACAACAGCTCCACATATCTCTTCCCCAACCATAAATTGCTCCCCTAATATAGCTAATATAAGATTTTCCCAACATCTAGAAACTAAACCTTTTCTTAATCGTACTATCCATTTACCACCCTTCTGATTTGCCTCATCCTAAAAAATATACAGCTCAATAACTATACTAGAATAATCATTTATTATAAAAAGACATTGAAATACATACTTCCCACATTGGTTTTATGCCAACTTTGAAAAGATGAAAATCTGTGGATGTTGCCAGTTCTGATGGCCGGACTAAATGACTATAAAGACTCCAAAACTGCTCCACACTTGCAAACCTACCAACCAATTTTAAATTTTGGTCGTAACTTTGTATACTTGATTGTTTACCAGGACTACGTCGACTATACCATAATGCATACGCATATTGTAATTTGTGCTCATTTGGATTAACTTCTACAGGAGGCTATAATAAGTATATACTATTTAATAGCAATATATCAATAAAATAAAAAGGAAAAAAAATCATTTACACTTACTAGAGAATCTTTCTCAGTTTTTTGATTATCTTTTAACTGTGCTTCATCATCCCCACTGTCCTCATTAGCTTTTAACCTGCAAGTACTACTATAATTTACATTATAAGTTTTATAAAACAGCAAAAATTAACATTAAATTATTCTTACAATTTTTCATATGATTTTTATTCAAAAGCACTATGCCACAGACTTCATTTGTTTACTTCATTCTTTTCAATAATAACATTTCAGTATTACTTTCATACAGTCGCATGCAGAAAAATAAATTTGATTATTGTTTGGTAATTATTTTTAATGTCAAAAAAGAAATGAAAATAACAATTGAAAACTGAATATATGAAGACGTTTAGTTTCTGACAAATGTCAGGTCGTATCACGTGTTTTGTTATTTAAAATTAACTGAACAATAATTTGTAAAAGCTAATAATTAATGCATAAAACTGGCCGAATAAGCACGTATTGAGCATTAAACAAGACATTATGTCAACGAATTTTGTTTTCTATTTAAAACAAATCTAACCTCTATCTAGCCCATAGAAAAAGGCACGACGAAATAAGAACGCTAGTTTCACTTACGCCTCGAATTTATTGGACATGTTTCAAGCTGTAATATAAATCTAGGATATTGATTAAATATTATAAACGATATATTTAACAAATATAAATAAAAATACAAAGCTTGTCGCTTTCTGTTTCCTTTCACACGTTTTCTTGTATGTGTGTTTTCGATAAATTGTTGATTTCTCCCTCCGCGTTCTTTTTTGTCACTTTGTCATCAGAGATTTTACATTTAGATGTTGGTCATACTAAAGGCGTATGTAACAGCGCGTTATATAAAATGTTACATTGAAATTTTCATAAAACATACACATTTATACATTAAAATATATATTTTACAAGGTAAATTACAGAAAGTATATACCCATAACGTTTATAAGTTTATTACAGTAATTAGATTAACGCGTGGTAATATTAAACAGCGTGCATAAAAAATTTTAAGCTTCTAAAAGCCAAAATAATCGACTTTTATTAACGCTATCAATCGTCTTTAATTTTAGCCACAGAGAATTCTAATTTCAATCTTTTCATAATCTCCTCTCGCTGATACATAACTTCTCTATAGCATAGTGGTGAAAATACGATTGGACATTCATATTGTACGGTTTCGATACATTTCGTATCGTTGATTCCATCTCGGTCAAATCTAAATTGCGAGATCGATTCGACTGAAACATAAATTAGAATTTAAAATTAGAAGCATTTAAAAGTTTTATGCGTTGACCGGTACTGGTTTTCAATTGCATGATAAATATTATTATTCTCGATAAAAATTTACACTTACAGCATCCAAATTTGGAAAAGAAACACGTATGATGTTTTGATGTGATCAAATAACCATTGTTATCTTGGCGTATGGCGTAATGTCCATGCGCTATATTTCGAATAATTGGTATATGACTTAAATGTTCTGTATACTCGACTGAATATTTCCAATGATCGTAATTACCACTCTCCGCAATAATATTGAAATCTTCTCTGTGGGTATTAATAATAATTATCAGGCAAAATAAAAATTCGTAAAGTGTAAAAAGTAATTATTTGTTATTTGACATACATCGTCGGATTTAATTTTTTCATGTTGCTAAAATCTGCCACGAATTCCCACACATGTATGGGATTTGAATCTTTTATGAGACCTTCAAATAAAACTTGATGCTTTTTCTTATATACAAAAAGTACATAAAACATTAGAAGTGTTAAACTAGTGTATAGTATGCTTCTAGTTTTCCACTTCATTGGATTGATACCCATTTCTAAACAAATTTTTATTATACGATATTAATTGCACAAAAAGCTTTTTCTAGAAAGACAAATATAAAACCATGCGTACTGTTTATAGCTATCGCGTGCGTGTGGAAGTACACGAAATGAATTAAATGTCTTATGTTACACGTTATGTCAAGTTTTTTAGAGTCCAGAAAGGAAAAAGTATTTCTCACTTACTTGTACCAAATATTTGAAACAAGAGTAGTCTATTTGTTCTGATTAACTTCTTATAATTGTGAGTTATATATAATGTAAATTATTTTTTACATTAGAATACGAGTGATTTTTTATTTGATATTGTGAACTTCCGCCGGTAAGATAAATTGAGAGAGATACTGCTTCGTTTCAAATATCAGAGGACGAACGTTGAGTTATTTCCTGCTTCACGATTCGCTACGAAATGTTTCATTTCCCTCCACTGTTTTAGCTTGGGCCACGATGCTTTTCGTTATTTGATTGTGTATACATACAACCCCCACTACATTCCATTGTGGTCCCTTAGCCCCACTTTCTTAGCGAAGCAATGTATTATAATATACGCATTAAACGTGTAGCACGCATTGCACGTAAATCACGTACTAGCGGCGCAAAATGAAGCATAATTTAAAGTTTATATTAAAGAAAATTTATCAGTACACACATAATCTTTTACACTGTTGATAATTCATAAATTCCAAGCAGAACTTTAATTACATTTGACATATTTTATTTACTCTCCAATTATTTTGAAGTATCTAATTTTGCGTCAAAATAATCGCACAATATCGATACTCGAATTTCAAATTTTGGAAAGATGGATGAAAGTGGTTGCTTTTCTGTAGGCAGATGATACTCCGAATTCTAGATTGGAATTTTGGCATAATTTGGTACGTAATAATAAATCTGTATCATTTTCATTAAATATCATTTTATTAGCTTCACGTTTTGAACATATTAAAAGAATAGAATACGCACAATTTAAGGGATATACAAACGTAAGAGAATAAATGGTGGTCGATTATATAAACAACTGTTCAAGGTTGGAAAAATTTCATTTATTAACATAATTTAATAATCGCTCCATTTCTTAAATATTCGAAATTACAAAAATGTGTGCAAATTGTACAAAACATACTACTTTTTCAAATGTACTAGAATGTTTAATACAGATTTAATGTAATTTAAATAGCTTTTTAATATATACATAACAATTAATCTTATTCAATCATTGGCATTTCAGTCCTTTTAAAGTCAGCCTAATGTGTATAAAATTATAAAAAATAATTTACTACACATTAACAACAAGCGGTCGTTATAAATTTTATTATGCTTGATTTTGGAATAATATAAATTATGACGCCTTTTTTGTATTAACATTTTTTGTTGTAATGTTTGCTTTATTAAGCAAAGATTTAACATGGTGAGGCAATAATGCTTTTAATTCACGCGACATAGACTTGTATTTGAAATTTAACAGTCTTACCAAACCATTTTGATAACCAGCTACCATCCATAAATAACTCCATGCATTTGGATTCCATGATATCTAAAATTTCTTGCTTATAAGTATACCAGATTAATATAAATATCGTCAGATGCAATATACTTACCCTGTTTACTGACATAAATGGATATTCTTCAATTGGAACTGTGGTTAGCTTCTCTGGATATGGATTTGGCTGTTGCACATGTCGTTCTATGTCCTTTAAATATGATGGAATATATTAATTGAAATATAAACCATGTTGCTAAATATGAATAGGATTATTAGATGCACTTACTTTTAAATTATCACAAAAAATAATACCGAATCGATCCTGGCACTGATTATAAGTTTCTGGCATGTACTTGTAGTCATTAGAATTTTCTTTGTCCTTTTTATCATCTTTGCTATCGACTTTTGTTTCATAAAAGTCCACTATTTTGATAAATGAACTTAACTAGGAAAAATATTTACGTTTATAATTGTAAGGAAATATTTGATATAGCAATAATTTAAAAATAATAAACTTAAGGAAAAATACCTTCCTCTTTTTTTTTACAGCTTTCTCGATATCTCTACTATGTACAAGTTCGTGAGCAAAAATTGATATTATTTCTCCTGCTAATGTACCGTGAGCGATACTATTTGCGTAATCAGAAACTGCTAAAGTCTGTAAAATTTTTAAATAAAGGTGCCGTTCTATTTCAGACATATCCAATAATACTTTTTAAAAATACTTACATATGCAGGAGAATTTGTTCCTAAAATAGGATAATATTTAAATTCGTGGTCTCGTAATGAAAGTAAATAGGTGTTTGTGTGCTTGTACCTGTAATGGTATGATAAAACATTAAAAAAAATTCCATCATAAAATGAAAATATTTTGTGGTTGTTGTTGTTTACTTTAGACCATCATCAAAACAAATAACAGCACAGGGCCAATGTGTCATCCATGCACCATCTAATATAATACCCTTTTGCGAGGAAGTTTGAGGAGTATTTGTATCATCTAAATTCCAAAATTTATACAATCTATCTAAACTGCCCGAAGCTAGAAATCTTTTTCCGTTATATGGAACTAATGCTACCACTGTAACAATAACGAGCACGTTAAATTTATATTGTATTACTGAATATTATGATTTCTAAAATTTCTGCAAGAAAAACATAAATGTACTTACTACTTACAGCATTACCATGAGCATAAAAATGCTGAAATGCATTTATAAAGTATGTATTTTGTCTTTTCTGTATTGATAATGGTGATTTATATGTAAGATCCCATAAAGCTATATAACCATTTGAAAATCCCGCAGCAATTGTACTAAAAAAAAGTGTATAACTTTGTTATTATGAAATTATGAAAACAGTGTAGGAATATAGTGAACGAATCTTACTTATGTTCCTGTTCCTTTGTCCATGATAGTTTGGTACACTGCCAATTTTGATCATTGTTATCATACATAGCAAGATTTACGACTAATGTTATTATCGGATCAGTACAATATATAGGCCACCTATAATAGTAACAAATATCAATAACGGTATCAGAACATTACACAATTGCAAAATATTTGTTACTAACTCATTGTCTATAGTTTTCTTAAATTTAAGTTCCTCTGGAAAAGGTAATGAATAAATATGTACATTTCCATCTGAACAAGCTGCTGCAAGCATACCCATTCGCTTAAGACTAGACTCTGTTTCGTTTTCTTCCTTATAATTGTTCAGACTTTCATCTTGATAACATCCAGATGGACACCATTCTAAACACCATATAGTACCAGTATTATGTGCAATTGCATATGATAAAGCAGGACATTCTCTTTTGCTATCAGTCCTAAACAAAGACAAAGAATTTATTTACCAAAAGTTTAATATAGTTATATATAGTAGTTTATTTGTTACTACTAACTCATAACTTAAAGGTCCTACATTCCAAATTTGTATCATATTATGCCCAGAATATGACTTTCCTACAGTATATTCACTTTCCATTGTTGGATGAGTACTAATTGCAACATATTGATAAGGTTCTTTAGAGTACATTGGTGATGGAATAGGTAACCAAGCTAATGCCCACACTGGGCCACCAGTAAAAAAAATGGAAGTACCTGAAAAGTTATTTCAGATGTAATGCATTAATCACTGTAAAATTATAATACACAAGTACCTCTATTTTGCAATTACCTTCATCAAAACCTCCTTCAAAACGTTTCCATTGCTTCCATGGAATTTCTGTATCATACGTGTTTTCAGAAGAACTTTCCTGCTTTGTACAAACGGAAACTTCTAATTCTGGCAAATATTTGATGACATCAGTATTATTTAACAATGTAAAATGATTTGGCAAATAATCATTAAACAAATTAAATTTATAATTTTTCCGTTCACTGTAACAGAGAACACCATACATTATTGCTTAAATATTTAAAAAAATATATGTTAAATATAGAAAATATAGATATTTACAATTCCATAGTCCACCGCACAGTAGGGAGGTATGGTTCTGACCACCGAATTTTATAATGTTGCTCCTTGTTGAGAAAATTCATTCTGTAAGATGTTCCTAAAATTAACAATCATGAATTAAATTTAATAGCATAAATTTTTACTTTTTAGCAAAATGTATTCTTACTTTCTTCTGAGCTAGAATATTCTTCTTCAAAATCTGCATTTTTGTCAATTCCTTCTACTGTTACATGTTCATCTTCTACATGCTTTATTATTTCTTCATTAGAGGGATATATGATTAATGTTTATATTATTATAACATATTGTACCTCATGAGGAATAAAGTTACATTTAGAAGAATGTTTACACATATCTTCTAAAGTAGTACATGTATAAGTACAAGCTGCCTTGCGACATTTTGCTGTTCCTTGTGAAGCTAATTCTTTTTTCCATATACCTTTCCACACAGCTGGTATACTTTTGTTTTGTTCAGGTGTTCTGATTACACTTTTCTGTAATATTATTTTCGTATAATTTTTAACGTGCTGAATTAAAGTTTATTACATAAAAGTTATAAAGTAATGTACCAGTAAAGAAGGTTCCAATTTTCTTTTCTTTTCAGGAGGTAAACTGCTATCTTCAACAAGACTCTCTGTAAATTCTAAAATTTTCTCCATTGCTCTGTAATTTAAATATTACATTAGTATTTTTATTAACTTTAATCATTGTATACTTTTACATTAACTCTTACTTTTCTGCAGCTTTACGTTTCACTTTTTCAGTTTCACCACTAAAATATTGTAGTTCTTTCAGTTTGCTCTCTTCTGATTGCCTGTGACTTCTTTCATGTATTTCCATAGAGGATGGCATCATAACAGCACCACAAATAGGACAATTTACCAACAAAGCTTGTTTTTCCTAGTTTATAGAATTATTAGTGTATTTATGTCATATTTTTATTTCAAATTGTGAAAGTAAAACATTGTAAATTCAGATCAAATAATTACATACTTCATCAGATTTTCCACAAAACTGCATGTGAGATATGAAGCCATTTGCACTATGTTTTACAGTTTCACATTTTTCACAGGATAATTTACCTCTTCTCTTTTTAATAGCATTCATCAATACTTTTCTCCATAATTTAATATCATTTTCAAAATCCTGAAATATGAAATGTTTTAACAAGTAAAATAAAAAATTGACAAATTTGTTAATAAATCTCACACCTACCATAGGTTCATCACCTTCTCTCCAACTCATATCATTATGTTTAAACAGATTGTGTGACCTCCATTGCTTTTCTGCCATTTTTATTTCACATTTGGCACAAGTTATTAAATCTACCTAAATAAAAAGAAATTAAATTTACTAAAACTAATTTACGTTTTGTATAATACATTATGTAAGACTTACTTCCTCTGTGTTAGCTATAGTTTCATCTGAATTTTTCTCTTTTGTTTTGCCTGCAATTATTGGTCCCTTCAATTTTGGTATATAATCAATGTCTAATGTAGAATAGGATGATCCTCTGCCTGTACCTCTACCTCTACCTCTACCTCTCCTTCTACCTCTACCTCTCCTACCTCTTCCTCTCCCTGTAGGTTTGCCTGCAGATGTACTCGGTGGTCTACCTCTTTTTCTAACAATAATTGAATTTGGAATGTTACCCTCAGTACTACTATCATCACTTAAGCCATCATTATTACTAATATTGTACGATTTTTCATTGTGTCTCTTACTATGAACAACTGTTTCTGCAATGGAAACATCATTCATTTTTTGTGAAGCATCTAAATTTTCTTCTGATTTCTCTGAAATGTCTGGAGTTTGTTCCAAAGTAGACACTATTTTTCTAGGTCTTCCCCTTTTTCTAATCACTGGTGTATTTGTTGAAGTTTGATCATTATTACTTTGATTTATTGGAGTTGTGTTTGAACTTTCTTGGTTTAATGGAGTAGTTAATGTTATAGGTGTTAAATTAATCCTATTTTCATTGATGCTTATATTGTTATCATTTAAATTACTGTTTAAATTATCTGCTCCTTCTAATCTTAAAGTTGTTTCTACATCAGTTTCTTTTACAGGAGCACATTCAAGTACAGAGGTATTCATTGATCCTATGTGTACTTTGTTACCACTTTTATCATTTTGTTCTACCATATCTGTTAAATTTTTAATATTTTTACAATTTTGCATGTGTTCTGTATAGATTTTTCTTTCATTCTTTTTAATACTAGAATGATTTCCAGAAATGTCACTGGAATTCAAAGGCAGTGATTTTTTTGTTACAGCTGGTGTGATAGAAGTAGAAGTTGTATGTGAATCAAGTGTAGTTATAGTTCTTTCATTATTTTTATCTTCAAGCTCTTCTTTTGTACCTTTTACATGATTAAAAATATTGTTTGGTTTAGTTGTATCTGATAAAGAAGGATTAGAAATTATTGCTTTTTTTTTATCTTTATTACGAGTACTTTTTCTTTTTATATCTAGATTTATAATTTCCTTTTTCAACGACTCCTTTTTATGTGTTGTAATATAATCATCAAAGTTGGTTTGTTTGCGAATACGTTTAGATCTGCCAAGTGAATTTCCTTCAATTTCATATTTATTTTCTACCCTCTTTTGTTTTTCTAAATTTCTATTTAAATATTTTTCACTACTACTTTGTCCAGATCTTATATTTGTTTTTTGAGGCTTTGGTACATCGTTTGAGGTAGTTTCATTATTTTCTAAGTTCTTTCTAGTACATTTTATTTTTTGTAATGTTTTTTGCTTCCTTGAAATATCTACTGAGTTATCTACTTTCCCATTAGTTTTTTGTTTCTCTATAATACTAGGAAGATCTTTCTTCACTTGTTCTGTGTGGCTTGTTTTAGACATTAACTTCTCTTCATTTGTATTAATTTTAGGCACTTCTGTTGCATTTATTAAACTTTCACTGTCTGTATTATCTGTTGGAATTTTATTAACTTTTATGACTGTAGTTGGCTTTATCACAATGCTTGAATTTGTATTTCCAATAGATGTAGAAATCTCATGACCTTTATTTTCTTGTATTGTAATAGTACTTATGGTATTATCCTTTTTTATAAATTCTAAGGCAGATATTATATGTCCACCTACAAAAAATATTGTATGAAATATAAAAATTAACACTAATTACATTTTTAATTATTGTAATAATTCATCAATTTACCTTTTGCTATAGAATCACTCATACAAATATTTTGTAATACATTTGGAGGAAGAATGAACATTTTTGTGTTACCAGTTAATGAACGACTGGATTTAATAATAGATGAGTTAACATTATCAGATGAAGTGTCAGAATCCACAGTCTTTTTGTTCATTGTTACTATAATTTAAATGAAAATTGAAACTGTAGAACATTATGTAATATTAAATATTATGCACCATATTTTCATATGTGGAAGGAATTAAATCAATAACTTTTTTTGTTATTCCAGGATACTATATTTAATTTGAAATTTCATATATATTGTACTATGTTTTTAGGACATATTATGATACAAAAAAATTGTGTATGACATATTAAAAGGAAATTGGTGTGAGCAGGATTCGAACGTGGAACATGCGAAGATGAAATGTGCTTGTACAACCTATACCAAAATCACCTAAAAATTGTTACTTCTTACAGATGAACACGTGGGGCAAACCTGTTGGCAGTATGTAAAGTATTGATTGAAATATAAATATTTATTATCTTTGCGCAAAATTGATTTTAATCACACCTACTTTTAATTATCGACACGATAAGGTTAGGCGTGAAATACGTACATGTGAGAAAGTTTATCAAGTAATTTTAATGTTAAATGATTTCTTAATGTTTTTGCAGCACACTTACCAATGTTTATCAAAAAAATTTTATCTACACTAAAAATAACATTCTATTGAAAAATAAAATATTTAATCTAAAATGTCTGGAACAAGATTCGAACCAGCAAACTTTGTCTTGACACACCATTCTCACATTGTAATACAGTATGCAATACGACAGATTACTCGATATAGTAAGGTAGCGCATGCGTTTATGTTTTGGCACTTTTTCGCGTTCGAATAAAAAACATGTTGATAATTCGCATCTGCAGAGCATTGCAGATACATATTATTGATCATAGCAATAGATAACAAAAACTACATATATGTATACATATTTTTTATAGCGATATGATATATAATTCTTCATATAACCTCAAAATTATCCATTATTTTGCATTTTTGTTTTTGTACCTTTACGCAATACTTAATATTTATTTCCGTGTTACCATTGATAATAAAGTACGAGAAAATGGAGATGTAGGTAAAATATAACACAAAATGATGTATTTAAATTTTTATTTATCAAGATTTTTATAAATTTAAACCATTCTCCTGAGAAGTTCATTGATTTTGTCTTCACGATTTCCGAAATCACCACCTTCAACATAGTGGTTAGTCTTCTTGCGCCATCCGCCATTGGGTGTGTTGAGCTAATAGATAAGTTACAATTAGTATTTTAAAATAAAGATTTAATTAATATAAACATTTAAACAGTTATTGAAATGTTTGAGTTAGACTAAGGAACGCAAGAATACGTGCGTGCCATAAAGAGAAACTCGTATTACTTTTCGACATAGTTGGAGGTTGATTGAACAATAAACTTTTCTACAACCATGCCTATGTCGATATTCGAAAATCTTTTATATTTATATACCTTGAATGGCCATAAGAAATTGCTTGCATATTTGAAATATGATCCAACTGTGAATATTTCATGGATCAAATCTTCTATACAAATAATGCGAGAACGTGCTGTAACAATATTATATATTAGTATCACAGTAAATATTTAAAAAAATTCTATTACTCTTAGACAAAATAGAAGGGAGTTATATAATTTAACAAATTCAACTCTCATTATTTTGTTAAATGTATTAGAATGATTTTAAGCAGTCTTAGCATAGTTACAATGAAAATAAGCAGTACTAACCGAGTTTCTTTTCAATGATAGCATTGCTTGTGATAGGTATGCGTTGTTTATTTACTTTGGCAAATCCTCTCTTGTAAATCAATTCACGAACTGATTTTAAATTTGGATATCCCCATGTGATATAAGGTTCAACAATACGAAGCATATTAAGTGTTGCTTTGTTCAATTTTACAAATACACCATTGTTGATTTGTTTCAGACGAAACAATTGAAGTACTTTGCGTACTTTTGGAGCAACTTGATTTACACTGAAACAAAAGTAGTTGATTATACAGTGTTCAGGTCTTGTGCATAAATATCTTTGTTCAGATATAGATCATATTTACCCCCGAATACGAATAACAAATGCAAGACGTGCTTCTCCAGGGATATAATAATTGCCACGATTTTTGGCTTGTCTAATTAACCTAATTTCGTCTCTCTCTTTTGTTCTATATTCTCTCACATATTTTTCAGCCCTTTTAAAGATATTTTTCCTCTTCTTATAACGGTTTACACGTTGCTAAAAATTTTAAAATTTAATACAACTTTCGTTTACTTAAAACACTGACGTGATTACATATATTACAAAAAGTTTTTAAAAATGTACCTTGATAGATGCTTGAAGACGTACAGCTCGTATTGCCTCGCGAGCTTTCCTCCTTTTCAGAACTGATTCCGGCACTGCGGGCAGCTTTTTAGCCGCAGGCAGCTTTTTAGCTGCGGGTTCAGGTTTTTCCTTCTTCCTATATACGAAATTAAAAGTTAAAATAAAAAATTATATGATGGGCGTGCACAGATACGCAAGTCGCGTGGTACACAGAAGTTGTTAGGTTAGACTCTTCCGAACAATAAGGATTAAAACCATTATTTTAAACAACGAATGTATAAATTTAATTTAATACAAGGTGAAACACAATGTTTCACTAAACAATTAATATAACTTTTAGTGATGAAAATATTAATAATATCATGTTTCATATTGCTTACTGGTATGACTTGCCAGTAGAACGGTGTAATTTTTTATTTTTACAAAAAATATAAAAACTATACTTTACACATAGTAAAGGATTTAAAGAGAATCAATAATAACATATTTTGAAAATATTAGAAGCATATTAACCAGCGATGTTTTCAGATTTCATTAAGATTTTGAACAACACTTACGCGTCCGCCATTCTTTAGCCGAGTAAAGGATTTCTCAATCGTTGAGAACTTCAGACGATGAGATGATTCTTCCGGTTTTCGATTAATGGTGGGAAATTTGAAATTTCATGTGAAAAAAGGCTGTGCAGAAAGAGAATCAGTATGGCATGGGCCTTGCATGCAGAGTGTGGAATAAGAGATTGCGTGGAGTGGATTAGCGAGGAGAGAGTAGAACAGCGTGGACTTAAAATAAATAGTGTTATACGAATTAATAGTTTCGTAGTTATCTAGTTTTATTTATATTACTCTTAAGAAACACTAATTATTAAAACACACTTCTTTAACCTCAATCACGCAAACACACAACCCCACAATTTTGTAATGGAATGTTATTTAAAGAATGAGTATGCATTTCGTAAAAGGAAATGGGTGTGATGTGTAAGAGAGAAATTAATACACTGTAAAATGCTGTGAAACAATACTGGTATATTATAACCTTTTGTAAAATACACTTTGTACAGTTATCTGGTTTTAACAAAGACCAAAGGGATTGCGTTGCTCAGTCTGTCGTCAGCGTTCAAAGTGCAAGGATCGAGACTATCCTTAGGAACGAAGTATAACAGGTTAGTTGATTTTTAAGATAGATATTCTTTGAATTTTGTGCTGTTAATAATAGTTATTGTAAATTAGAGCGTAATTGCATGTAGTAAGCAGTTTAAAACTGATACTTACAATAAATTTGTAATTGCTTTAACATTACTAATAATGTAGAGAGTAAATTAAACTTTCTGCTTTATTTTCAAATCCTTTAATTATCGAATATTTAGAGTTTCTTGTTTAATAATAATTTAAATGGTAGTTTATAATATCGGAGGTGTTAAATCAATTTGCTGCATGCTTTAACTCTTAATAAAACAGCTTAATTTATTAATTTCACATTGAATTAACAATTGCATGCGGTAGATTAGTTAGAAATTGTTTATAACTTTTATTGCAAATTGAAAAATTAATGTTCCTTATGTGTGAATTACAGATGGACCTTCCAGGACCCCATAAAATACAAGGAAAGGACTTAAACACCAGGAAACACGAAGAAATGCAATTATTTATGAATAAATCAAATATTTATTGTAAAATTATTGTTTCAAATGTATATTACAAAAGGTTACAATATACCGATATTGTTTTACAGCATTTTACACTCTATTTACTGCTCTCTTACACTCCAAATCCATTTGTTTTTGCAATAAACCCATTGTTTAAACAATTTTCCGTTGCAAAAGTCTATAAATCAATGGCAGAACCCACCAGGAATGCGTTTTCATCGAAAAAATCGAAAAAATCCGGAAATTCTAGCGAAAACTACGAAAGTTAGAGAAAGATTTCGAAAATCGCGCGAATATACTCGTTCGGTGCTAGAGTCCTCGAGAATTCCTGGAATTTACGTCATTTCTCGGAAATGACGAAATTTCCAAGAATCGAGGCGATTCCAAGAAGTGACCTCCTGTCACATCATGTTCGCCTATTAGAAAGTCGATTTTCAGCCAAAGGGCCTTCAAAACTTTCAGTTCTCGAGAATTCTTGGAATTTACGTCATTTCTCGGAAATGACGAAATTTCCAAGAATCGAGGCGATTCCAAGAAACGACCTCCTGTCACATCATATTCGCCTAATACAAAGTCAGGATTTACGATTTTCGAAAATTTTTGGCCGAAAATCGACTTTCTAATAGGCGAACATGATATGATAGGAGGTCGATTCTTGGAAATGACGTTAGCGTCGATTCCTGGAAATGACGTCATTTCCAGGAATTCTCGAGAACCGAAAGTTTCAAAGATCCTTTGGCCAAAATCTGGATTTTCATTAGGCGAATATGATATGACAGGAGGTCGCTTC